TAAAGTTAAGTAAACTTATTTTTAACAAAAAAAGTCTTAAAAAAGATAACATATAAGCCATTAAAATACTGAGAAATTTTAAGCTCTTCACTCTTTCTGTTTCCACAATTCCAGATAGTTATCCTACTGTACATGTTTTCTTTAACAGAACTGATTTATTTTGTTTTTAATAAATATAAACCTAACATTTTTATATTTAGAAATGCTTGAAGTAGTTGGTTTTTAATCTCAAAAATTTAGTTACTAAAATAGAAAAGGTATTTTGGTACAGTGTGCATATATGTGTAATTTTTTATATAGGTTCATAATTTTTCTATTTAAATGTTCTACAATTGCAGTGTTAGTTTTTGTTTTTTATAGTAATTAAGCCTTAATTCTTCTCATTTCCTTCTAAATACCTGATGTAAAGTCATTTCAATTTTAGAAAGATGGACTATTTAAAATGCTGTTTTCCCTAGCCGTAGCAAAATGGGCTATTCAGGCTAAATGGGAAATGAATATGTACAGTCTGTTATATGCTGATTGTTGTTACTGAACAAATGATTTAATGATGTTAAAAATAATACACTGGAAGGAATAAAAAATAGGTTGGATGAAGCAGAGGACTAAAATCAGTGAGTGGGAAGACAGGTAGAAAAAATACCCAATCTGAGCAGCAAAAATAAATAAATAAATAAAAAGAATGAAAAAGAATTAGGCTATCTTAAGGAAACATTGGACAACATAAAGTGCAGGAACATTCACATCGGAAGGGTTACCAGAAGAAGAAAGAGACCAAGGGATTGAGAACTTATCTGAAGAAACACTGACTGAAAATTTCACCAAACTGGTGAAGGAAAAAGTCATACAAGTCCAGGATGTGCAGAGAGCCCCAAACAAGATGAACCAAAAGAGGCCCATACCAAGACACATCATGATTAAAATGACAAACATTAAAGGCAAAGAGAGAATCTTAAAAGCAGCAAGAGAAAGGCAGCTAATTATCTACAACAGAGGTGTTCCAACTTTTGGCATCTCTGGGCCACACTGAAAAAAGAAGAGTTGTTTTGGGCCACACATTAAATATACAACCACTAACAAAAACTGATGAGCAAAAAAAAAAGATCTGTGCATAATTTTTGTGATATCCACTACCACAGATAAGCCAAAAAGTCCTCATATAATAACCTTAATTATGCAGTGGCCCTTCCGATAATCTTTTAAAATCATTGAGCAGGTCCCAAGCTTGTGATCACTAATATAGAAAATGTGCACATCTAAGTACTAACATGTCATTGATTTTTTACAAATATTTTTATTATAGAAGTGAAAGAAAAGAGGGCAACATAAAACCAGTGAGATGTTTGACATTGTATCTGAGAAACTAGCACATCAATATCTGGTTTGATAGAAGTTGCTGCAGTTCTCAGTGAGTTCTGAAGGTGCTGTTAAGGTGCTTTGGTTCCAATGTTGTTCTTAATGTGTTTCATTCCTGAAAAGAGTGGCTCACAAATGCAGGTGCTGCCGTATGGCGATAACATGAATAAGGTGTGATGTGAAGCCAGGGGTGTTTGTCTCCGGGAAGACAGGACCTATAAAAGTTTAGTAAAGAGACAGGATCAAATTTTTCTTTAAGTTGAATGGCAGATTGCAGCTCTATGCATTCCATTTGAAAATTGGCAGGTAACACATTTATGTCGACTGAAAATGGAGTCGAAAATGTAGCAAAATATTGATTATTTTCCCAGGAATTTTGACATCTGTTTTCAAACTCTTGTATAAAATTGGAAAACAAGGCTGAATATTTTTTGCTGTTCGCAGGACTGTGTTTAGCCAATGTATCAAAATGCATAAAATTGGATCTGCTCATGTACTGATACACCAAGGATTTGGAGAAGGTAGCCCAGGAGTTCTGGCCACGATGGTGACATAGGTAGAAACACTTCACTTCCTTGCACAACCAAAAGAAGGACAACATCAAGTTTAAAAACAAAAAAACAACCAGAACTGCCAGATATTCAAAGTTCATGGAAGTCCAACAGCCACGGAGTTAAAGAAACATTCATCCAGACCGGTAGGAGGGGCAGAGACAAGCAGCTGAGGCAAGGAAGATGCACAGCCAAGGAGGTGGCTGGTGGACCAGTTGGTCCCACATTCATGGGCTGATAAGCTGGGAAGAACCACTGGGAAGTGAGACAGACCACAGAACCCAGGGTTTCAGCATGGGAAACTAAAGACTCAGACCCTCTGGGTGTAAAAGTCTGTGGGAGTGGTGGCAGTGGGAGAAACTTGCAGGGCCACAGGAGAGTCCGTAGGAGAAAACGTCCATTTTTTTTCCTGTAAGATGACTCTAGTAGCACTTAGTTGTCTTTAATGCACGTTAGTTGTCTTTAACAGTATAAACTGTTTCTTTAATGCCATTTGAAACAATTTTGTTAGACCGTATGGTGACAGCTGTCATGTCAGCGTGCATTATAAAAACACTTATCAAATTGGTGGGTTTTCATGTAGCCATTTTAATACTGAAGATGGAAGAAAATATGCAACATTTTTGGCATATTATCCTTTATTATTTCAAGAAAGATGAAAATGCAACTGCAACAAAAAGTTTTGTGCAGTGTGTGGAGGAGGTGCTGTGACTAATTGAACAAGTCTAAGTGGTTTGTGAAGTTTCGTGGTGGAGATTTCTCTCTGAACAACGCACCATGGTTGGGTAGACCAGTTGAAGTTGATAGCAATCAAATCGAGACACTAACTGAGAACAGTCAATGTTATTCCCCACAGGAGATAGCTGACATACTCAACATATCCAAAGCAATAAAGTTATTGGTGAAAACGAAAATTGTGTCTTATATTTTACAGAAAAAATCATATGGACTTTTTGTCCAACCGAATATTTAAAATCAAAGCAGAAAATGTGAGAAGGAGCACAGGAAATCCTTTGCTGGTACATTAGGAACATGAGGGAAAGCAAAGCAGGGAAATCTCTAAGACTGGATAAAAAGCAAAGTGGAGAAACACATTTCTTCTGCATTGGTGGGTATGAGGTACCCACCTTTCCCTCCCCTCCCCTCCCCCTCCCTTGTCCCTCAGCGTCCCCTTTCCTCTCCCCTCCCTACTCTTCCCCTCCTCATCTCCCTCCCCTTCCTCCACCCCACCTCCTTCCCTTCCTCTCCCGCTCTCCTTCTCTTTCCTCTCCCTCTCCCCCTTCCCCTTCACCCCTTCTCCCTCCACCTTCCCCTCCCCCTCCATCACAGCAGCCAATCCTGGCAGGCACAAGAGTGTGTAAAGAGGGCAGGTGAGTCAGATTTTCCCCAATTTGTTTATGTTTATATAGATGAGCTTATAAACTGTTTCTAATTCTTATTATTTTAAACAAAATGCTCCATTAAATGCCTTCATTTGTAGTGATTTAAGTGTATTTGAGTATTTAATTAGGGTAGATTTGTAGAATTAGCTGACTTAAATGAAGATTTAGCAAAATTTACCTTGTGGTGGAGGTTACCAAACTGCTTCTGTCCCATTTTTAGGGCAAATGTGTAACCTTTCTAACTTACTTTGATAACAAGTGTGACTTATGTTTCTGAAAGCACTGTTGCATCGGGATCTGTGATGCCAGGCCTGCTCTATGTGGGAGACACAGGCCTGTGTTAGGGCACCTCATCACACAGAGCCACCTGGAGAAGAGTGACTGTACATATTTATTTTGTGGTGGTGAAATAAAGAAAACTTACAGCACAATTCTCTTATAAAAGTTTTTATTATTTAAACCTGGTTCATTTGTTTATGTTTTAATTTTAATTTTTCAATTACATTTATTTAATTTCTTCTTTGAATCAATTTAAAAAGAGGAGATCTATAATTAGCACTTAAATTCACAAGTGATTTAAATTATCCATTTGGAAGCAAAAACTATTGGCAATTTTGAGATCATAGTTACTTTAACATTACCCCTCAAGGATTTGAATGGATCATTTCTTTACTGTGGTGAAATATACATAAAATACTTTTTTTCTTGCCTAATTGTTCTGTCCGGAGCTCAGTATGATGCTGAGTAAGAATGGTGCGAGCGGGCACCTTCATCTTGTTCCTGATCTTACTTAGAGCAGCTCTTGGGCTTTGATCCAGCTCAGTCTCAGCTGTGGGCCTGTCATAGACGGGCTTTGTTATGTTTAGACGTGCTCACTCTGTGCTCAACTGGTTGTGAGTTTTTATCATGAAAGGATGGTGAATTTTGCCAAATGCTTTTATCACATCTCTTGGGATAATCATATTATTTTTGTCTTTTGTTATTATGGGATAGTATATTTATTGATTTGCATATGTTGACTTCTTGTATCCCAGGAATAAATCCTACTTGGTCAGAGTGTTTAATCCTTTCCATGTGCTACTGAATTTAGTTTGCTAGTATTCTGTTGAGGATTTTTGCCTCCATATTCATCAAAAGTATTCGTCTGTAGTTTTATTTTCTTGTAGTGTCTTTTCTGGCTTTAGTATTGAGGTAATGCTGGCCTCATACAATGACTTTGGAAGTATTAACTGTTTGGGAGTTTTTTTAAAGATTTTTATAAAGATTGATGTTAATTATTCTTAAATATTTGGTAGAATTCACCAGTGAAACCATCTAATACTGGGATTTTTAATGTTTGGTGCTTTTTTGATTACTGTTTTAAGCTCTTTATTTTAGATTGGTTCACATTTTCTTTTTTTTTAAGATTTTATTTATTTTTAGACAGAGGGAAAGGGAGGGAGAAAAAGGAGAGAAACATTAATGTGTGGTTGCCTCTCATGAGCCCCCTACTGGGGACCTAGCCTACAACCCAGGCTGTGCCCTGACTGGGAATCTAACCTGCAACCCTTTGGTTCACAAGCCAGCACTCAATCCACTGAGCCACACCAGTCAGGGCCACATTTTCTATTTCTTTATTACTCAGTTTTGCTAGGTTGCATGTTTCTAAAAATGTATTCATTATATCTAAGTTAAGGTTCAGGGTAATGTGCTTAATATGAGAAAACAAGGTCTAGTCGGATGGGGCAAGTAGCTTCTTCAGGGCCACCTGCATGTCTTTGTTTCTCAGACAGTAAACGAGAGGGTTCAGGCTGGGTGTTAGGATGGAGTAAAACACAGACAGTAGTCGTCCTTGAGTGGGAGAGTATTGAGAAGTAGGTCTCAGGTAAGCAACACTCCCAGTGACATAAAACAGAGTAACAGTGGCAAGATGAGAGGAGCAGGTGGAGAAGGCCTTCCCACGGCCCCTGGCAGAGTGGATCTGAGCGATGACAGAGATGATGACAGCGTAGGAGGCGACGGTGAGGGCAAAGGCACTGAGAATGATGCACCCGCCCACTGCAAATCCCACTTCCTCGTGGGTGTGGAAGTCACTGCAGGAGAGCCTCATGAGGGGGGAGCTGTCACAGAAAAAGTGGTCGACCACATTGGGTCCACAGAACAGAAGGGAGAAGGTGTTGGCGGTGTGGAAAACGGCATAGAGAGCTCCGCTCAGCCAGGCCATGGCAACAAGCTCTGCACACAGCTTTCTACTCATAATGACGCCGTAGAGGAGAGGCTTGTGGATGGCTAGACAGCGGTCATAGGCCATGGACGTAAGCAAGAAGCACTCGGAAGCACACAGCATGACAAATAAGAAGAGCTGAGCCACACACTCCCAAAAGGAAATGAGGTTGGAACCCACGAGGGAATTGACCAGTGCCTTGGGGATGGTGACCGAGGTGTAGCACATGTCCAAGAAGGACAGATTCTGCAGGAAGAAGTACATGGGGGTGTGGAGGCGGCTGTCTCTGGTCACAGCTGCGATGATGGACATGTTCCCAAGGAGGGAAAAGAGGTAGATGAAAAGGAAAACTGAGATGCTCACGAACCTCAGTTCAGGCGTATCTGAGAAGCCTTTGAGAATAAATTCAGTCACGCTGGTCTCATTTCTCATTTCCCTTTCAAGTCAGAGGAAGAGAGAATGAAGGGACAGTCAAGAGAGCTGTGGTCTTTGTGACACTGTGAAACACACGATCGCAGAGCGGACCAGAGAGGCAGTCGCAGTGAACCAGGTCCTCACCATAGTTCATGAGTCCACTCCCTCTTCTTTCCTCTCTTGCTGCTTCTCTGAGAAGTCTAAGCAGTAACCAATTCTAAATAAGTGAAAGAGAAAAAAAACATGTATTTATTAAGATACTGGTTATATGCATGCACCATAAATAACAAGCTTTGAAGTGATTCACATTTCTTTTTAAAAAGATTTTATTTATTTATTTTTAGAGAGAAGGGAAGGGAAGGAGAAAGAGGGAGAGAAAGAAACATCGATGTGTGGTTGCCTCTCGCACACCCCGCACTGCCAGCCTGGCCTGAAGCCCAGGCATGTGCCCTGACTGGGAATTGAACCAGCGACCCTTTGGTTCCCAGGCCCATGCTCAATCCATTGAGCTACACCAGCCAGGCTAATTTACATTTCTTAATGTACACGATGAAATATTTTCATTCCCCCATTAATTACCTTCTCAACAATGGCTGCATTCACTGCAGTAGGTGCACAGAGTTCATACAAAGAGGGTAAACCAGGTAAATGGCTGTCACATGAAAGCTTACAGAGGTTGAGCAGATAACGTGAGTGTCTGAGCAGGTTAGGAGCAGGTGGTTATGGGATTGTGAAGGGTTACCTGTATGCAGTTTTAGGTATCGGTGTCAAATCTTCAATTTTTTTTTCAGCAAAAATGTTCTAATTTTAGCACAAATGTCAACTAGAACAATGGTGACCCGAGTCTGGCCCAGTGGCCACTGTGGTGTGCATGAATATATTTAGTCCCTGTGGCGTCCCTCACAGGAGAAGCATTGCTAGGCTATGATCTTGAAAGTCATGATATTGAGACTTGTTCTGGGGAAGCATGTGAGACCGTGCCTTGAATACGGACAGACAGGGGGCCTTGTCTCAGGACCCGCCAGGACCAAGCCGGCCTTTGTTAGCAGCCCTGAAGTGGACGGGGGCTCCTCACTCGCCCTTCCCTTGGAAAGCAGCAACAGGACCCTCACAGGACCTAGCACTTTAAGTAAGAACAAGAAACTGAGTGTGGAGGGAAGGGCTCTGAGCTGAGGAAGACAGTCCACTGGCCCTCATGACTCGAACAAAGGGAAATCGTTCCTCGGAATTCAGAGACCATCACCACGAGTGTGTACGTAACACAACTGTGCTGTAAAAACCAGCTGGGACCCATGCAGATTTGATTTTTAAAACTTCCATTTAAATGTTCTTTTGAATGTGTCTGTCACCTGTACAACTTTCATTGTGCATATGTGTGGTTTGTGTTGTTATAAGTAAATTGATTTTAAAAATTAAAAAAAAAATTTATCAGTCATGACAAAATATTTTTATGACCTAAACAGCTCTATCAATCTTTGTATGCAAAAAATTAAGGTCATTTCTGGAAATGGGATAATGTCTTTTTCCAAAAGTTAAAATGAATACTGAATACATATTGGCTTTATTATCACACTTTAAGAAATAAAATGTGGTCAAAATGACAGCAAGAACTAACTAAGAGTTTCATCACGCTCACCGCTTCACAGAGATGTGCAGACCCGAGGAGAGGAGGCCTGCTGGGGCTCCGGGTACGGGGAGCACCGACAGGGCGGGGCGAACACGGGAACGTGTTGTTTCTGTTCGGGAGGCTAACGTCCTAGGTAAAGGTGTTGGCAGGGTTGGTCTCTTCTGAAATCTCTATCCTTGGTTTAGATGTGAAGCGGGATGGGAAGAAGCCAGGAAAATTCTCGAGCAGGTGGAATTAGGAAACCAAGGCAAGAACACTGGACAAAGACAGACAATTTGAACTGGCAGTGAATCTCAAGACCTCATCTTCTCCAAGCAAGGACACTTGCGAGCAAATGGTTTAAACTTCCCTCCAACCAGCGCATAAATAGCTTAAATCACGCCGAGTGGGGAGATAGAGAAAAGAGATCCAATTAGTGCCATTTGTGACAGCTAAACCCAAGGACAGATGAAGTCAGGGGAACAAATTATAAAAACCAGCTAGAGCCAGGCAGACCTGAGAGCAAAGTAAAGCAGTGAAATCGGCCAGGGAGTAATATCAGGCTCCATTAGGTACTCATTTTGATGCATTGGCACATTAAAAATGTACCTGGAAAGCTGATGAATATTCTGCTGAAACCCTCCCCTAAGGTTCTGGCCCACAGAGGAGAGAGAAAAAAACGCGCTTTGGAGACAAAGAATACCAGCGCGGACTCTCTCTAGAGCATTCTCGTTCCCCGCCTCGGACATGAACTTCTTACTTTCTGCCTCCTGAACTCTAAGGGACACTGTGACACTCGCAACCAGAGGGGCAGTGGGCAGTGGCAGCCCAACCTGGGCCGACCCCCGCTCCCATCTCCAAGGCCCCCTGGTCTCTGACTCTCCTAGAGAGCCAAAGAGCCCAGCCTAGGCTCTTGCCTATTGCTTTCTCCACCCTAAGTCCTTCCTTTGTTTCACTGTTCCCAGCTTTTAGAATGTACTCTCAAAGTCACCTGGGCTCGCATGGTGAAATCTTTCCTACACCAAGTCAGGAGCCCACACACCGCAAGCCAGCCTGCAACAGACCCGCTCGGGGCCAGGCCCCCACCCGGTGACAGATGGACATCTTCTCCCTGTGTCTCTCACCATGGGATTTATCTCTCCGTGTGTCAACTTCCCTCTTCTTAGAAGCACAGAAGTTGTAGTGGCTCTGAGCCCAGTGCAATGACCTCATTTTAACTTTATTATTTCTTTAAAGGCTCTTTCCCCAAGTTAAGTCACATTTGGAGGTCCTGGGGTTAGGGTTTCAACATAATTTTGGAGGGGATACAATGCAAATGTTGACAGCCAATAAGAAAAATAGCAGATTTGGGGGGAGGAGACCAGGGGAGAGGTGAGCTGCTGGAAGGATCCTTCCATCTGCCTGCAGTGACAGTGTCTCTTGAGGAGAGAGAGAAGAGAGACCTCACATTGACTGGTGTTCCCTCAATCACCTTCCCAGCAAGAGTCACTCAGAGTAACAAGAACAGTTCCCTGATTTACTCTAATGGCCCCTCAGTGGGAATAGTGGAAACACTATACTTTGGGTGTCTAAGACCATCGCCTCAGGGCGGCCTGGTTTCGAACTCAGCTAAAAATCTTCACAGGCCACCTAAACTCTAAGCATAGTTAGCTCATCACTTATGTTAAGAAAATTAGTTATACTTTTGTTTGAAATTTGTCTTGACAGGCAGTGATGCTGAGAATCAAGCTCTAGATTTCTTCATTTGCCCAGTGAAGGAGCTATGACTCAATGACCCTGGGGTCCCACAGAGACAGGCTCAGGCGGTGAGTTAGAGTCACACAGGATGTGCCAGAGCCACCACGGGGAAGTGGGAAGCTCACCTTTGGTCCTTCTGGCTGCCTCCATGCCCCCCCTCGGCCCACTGCTCAGTCGCCTTCCACTGAGCTGACAGACACCTACTGTCACCACTCTCGTCTACCACCAGCTCAGGTGTTATCTCTCCCCAAAAGCTGGATTTATAACAGTGTTTGCATCTCAGTGAAAGGTGCTTACCTCTGTTCTAGCCATTCAGGCATGAAGGCATGGGCATCAATTATGTTTCAAAAATAAAATAAATATCTCCCTGACAAGCTGCATACAGTCTGCCCTTTGTTAATCTGATGAATCTCTGGGCTTGCATAACACTGAACTGGGTATTTTTATTACAAGCAGGTTAGCAGGTAGTGCATTTGTTCCCTGGTGCTAATGGGCTAGTGCAACCAATGCCCCCTATGCAAATGCAAGCTTTGAATCTGTCATCTCTCAAAATACTGAGTGTAGAATTGTACCGTGTTTGCTCAGACCGTAGTGCTTCTGGAGTCCACAGAGGTGACCTGGTGAGCTTCCCAGATGCGTTAGGGACTCACAGAGGAGGCACAGGCTGTTATCCTGCAGTGACCACAGCCTGACCCAGCCCAGCCCAGCCTCTCCCCACTAGGGTCACCGCCTCACGAACCAGGAAGAAATAAAGTGCATGTCTTGCCCATGTTTCAGGAGGAAACAGATGACACAGATAAAATAGCAAACATATCTGCAACTGTTTCTTGAATGACTGACTACTCAAAAGCAGGTAGGACTAAATATGAAAAAGATAACAAAAACACAGAGCCACACACTCCCGGCACAGAGGAGAAGTGCTAACTATGTATGACTTGAAACAACATATAAAGAATAATGTATGTTCACTGCCTCGTGGCTGCACACCTGTTTGTGTGAGTCTGCTTTATTTCAGGAGCAATGTTTGGCTCTCTACATGAGCACCCTCACTTCCAGTCTTTCTCTTTCCACTTATTTTTTGTGGCATCAGAAAAACACAAAATTTATGCTGTGTTTTGCTGTGAATTGTGAAAAAAGTATTATCCCTGTGGCCAAATGTTATGTGACAAATATCTGTAAGATCAAAGTCTTTTTAAAAAATTTTATTTAGCAAAAAAAATATTTGGGGTTTAACACAATGAAGAAGCATCATTGGAGACATAGAGATAATATTATGCTTTCTGCCTCTCAAGGGCCCAGAATGTGTTATATTATAATGTCATATAATGTGATACACTGTAAAGGTACATAACATTATTTTTATAAAATATACCCAGTTACTAATATACTCAATATTAATAGTCAATATTAATAATTGTGCAGATATATATGTGTGTGTACATACAGAGAATAATTACTATGTGTGTGCCTTTGAAGTGCATTGTAAAGACTTGACAGGCAGAAATGACGCAAACACCCACACACCAGTCTGTCTCTGTCTAGATAGCAGATGGTG